CCCCCCCCCCCCCCCCCCCCCACCCCACCTTTGCATGGCCGTGCGCCGCCACCACAAGGCCCTCTACCTCGGCCTCATCTCTGCCGCCACCACCCTTCACCACCTCGACCAGATTCTCGCCCACTCCATCGTCACCGGCTATCACCCTGACCTCATCACCGCTACCGCCCTCCTTCGCCGCGTTTCCGACCTTGGTGGCACCGCCGCCGCCCCCCGCGCCCTCCGCCTCTTCTCCTCCGTCCCCGACCCTGATCTCTTCCTCCTCAACGTCCTCCTCCGCTCCCTCCCACCCTCCACTGCCCTCCCCCTCCTCTCCTCCCTCCCCCGCCATCACCCCCACCTGCGCCCCAACACTTTCACCTACGCTGCCGTCGCCTCCGCTGCTTCTAACCACCCCGAGGCCGCCCCTCCACTCCACGCCCGTATCATCGTCGATGGCTTCTCCAATGACCTCTTCGTTGCCTCCTCGCTCGCCGATCTCTACCTCAACTCATCACAGGTCTCCCTGGCGGAGAAGGTGTTTGATGGAATTCCTGACCCGGATACCGTTCTTTGGAACACGCTTATCTCCGGATTGGTAAGAAACTGCTCCTTTTCAAGAGCGGCGAGCGTCTTCCAGCGAATGGTAGCGTCCAACAGTGCCAGGTTCGATTCAACCACCTTGGCGGTCGTCCTCCCTGCAGCAGCAGAGCTCCAAGATCCGAACTTGGGGACGCTGGTGCATTGCTTGGGCATCAAACTGGGGTTGGCATCTCCTCCGCATGTCGTCACAGGGTTGATATCCATGTACTCCAAGTGCGGTGACATCCCTGCCGCAGAGTTCTTGTTTGAGGAGATAGAATACCCGGATTTGATTGCATATAACGCAATGATCTCAGGGTATTCCATCAATGGCCACATCGAATCTTCTGTGGGCTTGTTTAAGGAGCTACTGGTTTCGGGTGGAGGGAGACCGAACTCAAGCACCATGGTCGGCTTGATCCCAGTTTTCAATCCCTTTGGCTATGAACTGCTCGCTCGATCCATTCATGGCTTCGCTGTGAAAGCTGGTTTCGATGTGAACTCTGCCGTATCGACAGCTCTCACCACTGTCTACTGCAGACTGAATGAAATGGAAGCAGCAAGGCGAGCTTTTGATTCCATGCCGGAGAAGAGCATGGCGTCTTGGAACGCCATGATATCCGGGTACGCACAGAACGGTTTGACAGCAACGGCGATCTCACTGTTCAGGGAGATGCAGGCGTGCAACCTCAGACCCAATCAGATCACCGTCACCAGCATGCTTTCGGCGTGTGCTCAGCTCGGAGCTCTCACCATGGGAAAATGGGTGCATCAAATAATCGCAGAGGAAGACCTTGAGCTCAACGTCTTCGTGTCCACCGCACTCGTCGACATGTACGCCAAGTGCGGGAGCATCGCGGAAGCTCGAAGCATTTTCGATGACATGGAGGAGAAGAATGTGGTCTCCTGGAACGCCATGATATCGGCTTACGGAATCCATGGCCGAGGCCTCGAATCTCTGAAGCTCTTTGAGGCGATGCGGAGTGCGAGCGTCGCGCCCACGGGCGTCACCTTCCTCTCGGTTCTGTGTGCTTGCAGCCATGGCGGGTTGGTGGAAGAGGGCCGCGCCATCTTCGAGTCCATGAAGCGTGAGCATGGAGTGGAGCCAGGGCCGGAGCACTACGCTTCCATGGTGGATCTCCTTGGCCGAGCAGGGCGACTCGGCGAGGCGCTCGAGTTCATAAAGACGACACCTGAGAGCGCCGGTGCGGGCGTCTGGGGTGCGTTGCTTGGTGCTTGCATGATCCACAAGGAGAGCGAGCTCGCTAGATATGCTGCACGCAAGCTGTTCGAGCTGGAGCCCGAGAACCCCGGTTACTACGTCCTCCTTTCCAACATTCATTCATCCAAGAGGAACTACCTGGAAGCAGCCATGGTGAGACAGGATGCCAAGAACAGGAAGCTGGCGAAGACACCGGGATGCACTCTGATCGAGGTCGGGGACGCCGTGCACACCTTCACCGCCGGCGACAGGTCGCACCCGCAGTCAACCGCGATCCACTCGCTGCTGGAGAAGCTGACCGGGAAGATCATCGAGGCGGGGTATCGGGCGGAGACCGAAGCAGCATTATACGACGTCGAGGAGGAGGAGAAGGAGCAGATGGTGAAGGTTCACAGTGAGCGGCTGGCTATCGCTTTTGGGCTCATCAGCACCAGCCCGGGGACGGATATCAGGATCATCAAGAACCTGAGGGTGTGCTTGGACTGTCACCAGGCCACCAAGTTCATTTCCAAGATCACTCAGAGGGTGATTGTTGTAAGGGATGCTACAAGGTTTCACCATTTCAGAGATGGGGTGTGCTCCTGTGGGGACTACTGGTGAGAATTCATGGAGGGACACCTGTCTATACGATCCAATATCAGATCTTAATCAGTTCAGTAGATATCAAAAAATATTGATCGATATGAACTGATCCCGCTGATATTTAATTTCTCTTGGTGATCATAATATTTTGTATGAGGCAATTTGAAGAGACAATTTACAAGGATAGTTCATCTATGCACAAATAAAATTACAAATTACAGTGAGAATACTTCCAAAATTATTCCATATCTATCTGAATCATGATTGAGAGAGGTGCAATGGAGGTAGTTTGTACTTGTAACAACAACAGCTTAAGCCTGTAGCATGTTTCCTATCAGTTCTTTCTCCTCGTGAAGAAACAGATGAAGAGTATCATCATAAGTTGCTCAAGCAATATAAAAAGGTTCAATCAAGTTATACCTTTTGAGTTAAATCAACAGTTATCAGTAGAATATACAAATATTTGATGCAGAAAGAACAAAATTTTACCTAAGAGAGATGATAAATGAAACTTTCTGATAGAAATGAGATTAATACTAAAAGGAAAAGAACAAAGTAACAAATTGATAATTATCATGGCCTCTTCATAAACTAAGATAATTAGTATCCACATGCTGACTCATACAAAAAGATTTGCTTGTTACTTGCCACAATGCATTCTCTACTATACTAAACAAAACTCTACGGCCCATAATTAGAAGCTATAAATCTTCAAGGCAGACTGTGGATGGAAAAGATGAAAACAGCAATCAGAACCATTACCTGGGAATTATTTCCACAATAATAATATGAAAAATGATCTTGTGGCCACGGTGACAAGATCAGTTTTACCATCCGATTCTATCATCCACTGCTTTGATATTTACATTAAGTAGTTGAGCAATCACCTCAGCCTGCCCCATGAAACCTAAATGAAAAAGATGCCATTATCATTTATTGCAAGCACAAATAGCCAAGTTCTAACAATATCGTCATACAAAGTAGTCACTTAACAAGGATGCATAAGCATCCAAAATGTCAAGCAGGAAATAACTGAGATAATTACCTCTTGCCATGATTCCAAGACACTCTCACAAAGCTAAACACTTGCAGAAACTTCTGTAACTGGTTTTTCCTTTTTCTTTGGCTGTTCCTGGTTTTTTTGCAGAACTGCTTTGTTGGGCATGAGAACCATGAAGATGTTTCTTTCGCTGAAGTTTTTACTCTCCTCAGTTGCCAGCTAAATTTTCAGATCCAAAAAAAAAAAAAGGAAAAGAAAAGTTAGTGTGATCAGGTTTTTGGTCAGTCTCATACATAAAAAGGCTCCTAAAAGACTAAGTTCTGCATTTATGTTAAGTCGTTTATAAGAAACTGAGAGAAGAGAGCTTTCACAATCATGGTAGCATCAGGCAGTGCATCCTACAACAACAATTGGAAGTTTAAATTCATTAAGTCTGCTTATTAAATATTAAATGGTGCATATAAAGCAGAATACTTGCTAGAAAAGAGTTACTATCATTGGCCTACCATTTTGCAGGAATGCAGTACCAGCTCAGGATACATCCCCTACTTAAAATTTAAATCACACATATTACTTTGGTGGAGTTATTCAATGGATGGATCATATCTTCAAACGTTATGCAAGATCTGAATCCAAGTAGATGACATATCTCTTAGATAGAGACTATGTTTTTCACATGTAACTTCCCCATTCCATCCAAGTTGCTCTCTTGACATCAATTAACTAACCCACTGGAATAATTCACTACATGGCTGATATCTTCTGCCACAATGAATAACCACACACGATATTTTGAATGCTCCTATGTCTAATTAGCATCTTACAGTGTACTTAAGTGACATATAACTATGCAAATCATCAAGATAAATATCTATTCTGACTGTTGGTACTATTTTAGGGCAACATAAATATCTATTCATAAACTAACCATCACTCATTCCTCCAAGTGAATCAAGTGCAGAACAGATGGTTTGACTAGAATCCACTTGGGCAAGTTTTCTTTTAGTGCAACTCTCACAAACCAAAATACTGCAAAATTATCCAAATCATTTGAATCATAAGATAAATTCTGTAGAGCAAAATATAATAGAATAGTGAACTAAAAGAAATTAAATTTTATGATCACTGATTTATCTCGTTCTTTCCTAACAAAAGAGGTGCACCTGTGAATTCTACTTTCAAAACTCTTAGAAAGTGTTCTTTTCTCAAAAATAAAATTAACACAGTTAATAACTATTCTACAGAAACCATTTAGTCCAGTTTCATATGGCTTCAATGTTTCTTTTTTTTCTCATTGGTTATATCCTTTATGATAACAAATTTGGATCTATTACGGACATTCAAGGTGCAATAGTAGGATCAGGGTTGCCGCAAGCGCTAGGTGCCACAGACTCAAAATGCCCAAGGGCCTGAGCGAGGCGAGGTGCTCCTGAATATTATAATTTAAAAATTATATATCATGATTAATAAAAATAAACTAAAAAGTAGCACTGATGTTTCATCTGAAGTGCTGCCTACCGTAGCCATGATTCAAGATTCTAAAGCTGCAACAGCAATCCAAAACACTAAAAAGTAGCACTAATCACTACAGCAATAGCAATAATAATCAATATTTAATTAATGATTCACTGCAGTAAAGAAGGCAGTTGCTGTTCCCTAAAGTCAGCTGATGTTCACAGGGAAGGGGCAGTTGCTGTTCACTACAGCAGGCAGCTGCTGTTCACAGGGGAAAGGGGGCTATGACAAGGCCGGGATGGGGGGAGACGGGGGGCTGCGGTGACCATAGGAGGGCTGCAGTGAACAGGGCAGAGGTAGGAGGAAGGAGGGAGGTGGAAAAAAGAGAAAGATATTCTGGGAGGAAGGGAAAGCCGCCACCGTTGTTGCCAGAGGAAGATGTCGCCGCTACTGTTAGAGGAAGACATTGTTGTTGGTACTGGAGGACGACGCTGCTGGGGAAGAAGGCGATTGCCATCATTCACCGATGGGAGGAGCGCCACTGCCATGCAGAAATAGGAAAGAGGGTTTCTACGTTAGGGTTCTTCTCGCACGTGAGGTTTCAGGCTTTTTGCGACTGTGTGATAGATAACTGGTTCAATCGATCCAATTGTCTTGCGTTTGGTTCGACTCAAGCTTGATGGTTAATTGATTCAATCGAACAAGATAAGTTAGTTTGGTTCAACTCAAGCTTGACCTAGCAAGAGTTGAACTAGGTGGGCACTCGACCCACCTAGCGCTTGGGCCATGCCTGAGTGAAGACACCCGCCCAGCGCCTGGTGACTTCACTGAGCAAGATTCATCGAAAATAGACAATATGATCAGTAAGTCCATACTAGTTTTTAGGTGACTCATCATTAACGTATGGTAACTGCTGATTCAATTGGTCTTTAATGTGGGGTTGGTACCTTTGAATTTTTCTGTATTCCTCTTTTCTGCCTAAAATACAAGAGCAGATTGACTATCACAAAATTTGATAATATTTTATCAAATCGTAAGGCAGAAATTGAGGTGAACCAAGGGAACCATGCCAGTCACCTCATGCAGAGTTGCAACATGCTAGCAATACCTCTAAATTTTCTAAGCTGTATACAATATTTACCACTTCTTTGTACAAATATAAATATATTATTGAAAGAATAATAGAAAGTTCATATGCAAAAAACAGATGAAGGTTTTTTCTCTAAAAAATATAAATTTCAATGCAAGTTAGGCGCATTACCTCCCCAATGTCACTCTGAAAACGCTGAAGAAGTTCGATAGCAATATTCCTGAACTCATTTTCCCGGCCTTTCAAGTGAACAATGACCTTAACCTGAAGGACAGTTCATAGGCATGAGCCTGAGACTTTACTATAGCATAAAGAATAATATGAATTAAGAAGAACCTTATCTCCATCTTTAAGGAACTTCTGAGCAGCTTTTAACCGCACAGAGTAATCATGAGAGTCAATGTTGTACCTGTCTTCAGACATGTTAGCTAGTCCAGCATAATACATAAATAAAAAAACTAAGCAAAATATGAACAAAACACATTGAAATAAGAACCGTTATATCACGGACAAACTTCGAAATAGGGTGTTTGATGTAATGCTTATGTATGTCCGTGTCTTTTGGCATGTTCATGCCTTGTACAGCATGTAGAGGGGCGGCCGAAGGCTTAATAGTCCCATTTTAGTTGGGTTGATGGCCTCTTTAGGCTTGTAAATAAAGGTTGTGTCATATGGACATGTGCGAGAGATTCTCGGTCTGTAATGGACCATTTTACCCTTTGTTGTGCCACTGTTCAGAGCTTGTAAAGTCTGTTTGTAATTTGCATTGTCTATGAAGTGTTTTTCGGAGATGTTTGCTTGTGGATCCCGATTGAGGCGTTCTATCTAACCCGTTCTCTCTTTTGGTGGTCCTAAGGGACAATGGGAGGCTTCGAGGAGGCTGACCTTTGCGGATGGACACGCAAGGGTGCCGCACGACTTAGGCAAAACCAACTAAGTCCGTGTCATATGGTATCAGAGCGGGACAAGCACTCATAGAAACACTTGACATGCAAACGTGGGGGACCTAGCGGGGCTGCGTTGAGGGCAGTCAGCAACGCGCGACCGTTTGAGGGAAAACGGGCATGGAGATGTAGGGAAAAGAGTCGCTCGAGGAGAGGGCATCTAACATTGGCATTCAGAGGAATAGCCAACCCTTCGCGCAAGAGGCACCACGAGAACAGGCAAGCTTGGAAGAATGCGGAGCGCACAAAGGTTGGGATGGCTGAGTTTGAGCTACGGCTCAACGTTGACAACTTTACTTGATGGTGCTCAAGGCAAGCGAGGCGCTTGGCAAAGGACGAGACCATGCAAAGTGGAATGAGTTGCTCAGCGACCGAAAGAGTTGTGCAAAGCTCACAGAGGTGAGGGGAATTGCTAACTCGAAGAATTCGGTACTCATGCATGGGCTTGTATGCGGACGATGGAATGTTCGTGGCCATCCCAAGGCGGTCGAGACTCGACGCCATGGAGCATTGAAACTTTCTCTTCGGCATGCGAAGGATA